CCTGGCCTTGAAGTTTCCTTGGCAAGGGATTTTGGAAGGGGTTTTTCCCGCCTTTCCTGCTTCCTAAGCTTGAGAGGACAAAGTTGTACAGATGGTTTTGCTCTTCAGGTGGGACTGGATCTGAGCGTTTCTCTGTCTCTAACCTGGTGCCTTCACCACTACACCAAACTGGATCTTCTTCCTCCCCACAAAACTTACCCATTGACCTGTTCCTGCTGCTCCAATATCATATTAAAGGATGCAGCATTCAAGATCAATCAATTAATCCGAATATATCTGGAAGGGACCTTGGAGGTCTTGATGTTGCAGAAAATTAATAGACTTAGACTTCGGGATCAGGAGAAGTAGCTTTAGTTGATACCTAGATTCAGAGCAAGATAGGCAAGACAGCCATTTGAACATCTGAACAAATTTCTTATGGAGACACACATTCTTATAGTTCCTCAAAAACAGTAAAACACGGAAATATGCTAGGTCGGCGCTAATTGGTCACATAATTTAGGCTGCTTGTTACTATGCTAGGAAAACAGATAATATCTTGTTTCCCTTCTGTGTCACAGTCGACTTGCAAAGAAGCTATTCTAAGTTTCCGGCACAGGACTTTTGGTTGACTGAACTAGTTACAGCAGGTGCTATTTTTACGGCTTGACATTTAAGCTTCCTGTTTTTCTACAATACTCAGAAAATGTCTTTCACTTTACAATGCAATACAATAGCAGAGTTGGAAGGGACCTGGGAGGTCCTCCAGTCCAACTCCCTGCCTAGGCAGGAAGCCCTCTCTCTTATGTCCAAATCTCACTTTATGTCATGCCTTATTGACTCCAACCCCTGATCAAGCAAGAGACCCTACGTTGAATGAAAAGAGGAAATTTTACGTAAAGACATGTCAAATTACCATGATCTCAGTAGCTGGTTACCTCGAGTATCTATGAGATAACCTAATTAGCAGAACCAGAAGTAGGTAGAGAGGAAAGGTTATGTACAGACACGTGCAGGAAGCTGCAATGATCTCAGTAGCTGATTACCTCAACATCTATGACCTCAACTGTTTATTAGAACCAAGTAGTACCAGCATATGGGGAGCTTCTACCTTGGCTGGAATGGTCTTCGAGATTGACAAGGGAAATAAGAGAGAATGTACCAATAAGATGCTGCTGCTACCCTGCTTTTGCTTTGCTTGTTAAAACTGTATAAAAGCCAAATAAACTCTGCGTAAGGCAGGCACACATTTTGGACACCACTGCTGTGATGGATTTCTGAGACCTGCACTACGTTGCTTCCAGTGGTGGGTTTCAAAAAATTGTGGAACCTCTTCTGTAGGTGTGGCCTGCTTTCCGGGT